TAGATATAGTTTTAAAAAAACACATTACGATTTTTAAGTCAACATAATTTTGTCTAAAAATTTAACACAAAATTTTGTTTCTAAATTCGCATGCGGGGCCTCATGGCGTTTTTCGACCAGTCCCAAGTGCTGGGCGCACATTCCCACCTGCCAACAATTTCCTCGTTGTCGATTTTTTAATGTCTCGGACAGGTTGAAGGTCAGAGTTATTTTTCTGAGGCGCCGGAAAACAACTTTATGGATAATTTTTTTAAACTTTGCAGTGACGATTTAAGTTTCGTAAGATGTTGTCATCAAAAATCATGTCAATTTTACGAAGCTTAACCCCTTCTTTTTTTGTAAAATATTTTACGATACTAAAGATACGAAGAAATAATGAACACCCATACTATTTTTTTTATTTGATGCGACATGTGTTTAGAAGAAAAATGAGCAATCGTCTGACCATGTACGATTTTTCCGATTACCAGTTACCACTGGATTTTTTCGCCAAAGACAGGTTTCTGGTCGCGAAAAACATGAATTAAAATCGCTACCACGGCGAAAAATCGAAAACTTAAATATTTATTTGCACATGTACAATCTGGATGTGGTCACACTTTGCTCACTTTTAACTTCATATTCGTTCATACACTCACCGGAACAATTATTTGGCAGAAGGAACAACCTGTACTGAAATGCATATTCCAGGAAAAGTTCAAGAGATTTTCGGGTGATTATTTTTGTTTTTATTAGATAAAGTAACTGGTAATGACATACCAAAATACCAATCTCGAAAAAAAATTTTGAGTGGGGTAAACCAACATTTTCCCACGAACAGTTAAAATCAAATCCGGAACAATTATTTGGCATTTTCGTGTATCGAACGAAAAAATAGTTATTTCGAGTTGGTAAGCACTTTTTTGGTTTTATATAGTTAGAAAATGTATTTTGCTTCATTTCTACGCAATTCCGACATTTAACAGATAGCTCCAATGAAGCCGAAGAGAGCGTCATTTGACCACCTTACCAGGGTCATTAAGTATTTTGTGGGGGATGCTACTGGCAGCCCAAAATTTTGAAACTGCACAAAATACCTCCCACAATAGTGGAGTATACCATTGCATACTATTAATCCAGCAGGTTGATTTAAATAAGCTTGGACGAGACCGAAAGTCAATATTTTCCTCGCCGAAGACGATGGCCATTGTCAAGAAAATCATGGTCAACCCGAAAGTTTCTATTTCACATATCGAAACTCAACATGGAAATCAACTTGACATCTCAGCTGATCAGAAAAACACAATGAGACTGAACGATAAAATTTTTCCGAACTAGGAAGAAGCCCCCCATGTCAAAAGGTAACATCAACATATGGCGTTCATTTGCGCTCATCAACAGAGACCAAAATTTCTGGGACCCGATTTTATGGACTGGCGTTACTAAATAGTTGTAGTTACTCTCATTAGGCGATAAAAAATAGATAGTTCCACGTCTCTTATGTTGCTTTAGAGTTTGAGCCAGGACAACAAGGTTGACACATTTTTTGCCCACCACGATTAACTCAAAATCGCATTTTCGTTTGATCCAATTGAAATAATATCTAGTGTAGAGGGGCACAAAATTACACGTACTTCCACTATGTTGACAATGTCAACATAGTGGAAGTACGGTATTTTTTTCTAAAGCTACTGAGTTTAAGAACTTCAACTTGTAGCGAACTGAAATAAAATTAACGGATCATTTCATAATGAACAACATCATCAGTTCCTGCTGCATGTATTACAAATATTAGGAAGGACGCTGCGAAAATAATATTTCACCTGTGTTCGAATCAAAAATCGAATCATCACTAACTGCTTCAAACCACAATGTTACCGACTTGTAGTATAAAGGGAGCAAATCAATTTCGTAAATAAGAAATTGAAAAGAACAGTTACTCATTATAGGAAATTATTTTCTGAGGAACAACGCCTAATAAACTTGAACATGATTGCCTTAAGCATAGAGATTGAGCTGATGCGTTTGATGGGAGAAGTTCGTCAAACAATATTGCATTAGGAATTAAAACCTAATTGCGCTATAGAAACTTGCGGGGTACTATGTCCTGGATTTGTTCGCCGTGGTATGTACCACGAGACATAAAGTAACACTGGAGCCAGGTTGAACTCCCGCTAATAAACTCTGTCGGAATTTAGCCCAAAATTCTAACACAATAGTGATGAGTAATCAGGTCCACACAAAAGTACCAATTTTGTGGGCCCACTATAGACGAATATGAGGTTTCTGTAACATACCATTCATTACCATTAGGCTCCAATTCCTATTTTCTACCAAAGACTGGATATACTAGTATAAGCTAAACGATTCCTGGTGACTTGGTTCAACGTGTACATCTCGCTATTAGTCATTTCTGGGTTAATCACTTTAGTTCTTATCACAGAACAATGTCATACCAGTTACACACTCTTGATCGTCATGAAAGAACTGCATAGCCCAATTTCCTGGCCTCCACTTATATTCGCAGTGGAAGAAAGGGATCGGATTGCCACCATATCACTGGTAAAACTAAAACTTCCTCAATCTTATTTACATTCTAATTATTATCTACTACTTTTAAACCCGTTGAATGTGTGTTTATGTGAAATAATGGTTGATTTGTCCTAAACACAAACTAGGGCAAAATCTGGATGCCACCAGGCGAGTTTCTGAAACGTACTCTAGGAATTAGCATAGGTTCAGTAAAGGGTTGTTAAATTCTTATGAATAATTAAATACAGTCTAGTGTGGAAATTTAATCAATTCCGTCTTTGAATGATTTCGTGCCAAACAATGGATGAAGGATGGTTTTTCCAACGCACTACCCCCAAAACCAACTGTGATAGACTCAATGGGGTATCAGAACTCTCTTGTTATGGATCAAGGTGCAATTCAGGGTGGATTTTGGTAGAAAAATAAAATAAACATTATTTTTAAATTGTCTGCTCCTGAATTTACTGAATTCCACTTTCCGGCAATTCCCCGAGGTCTGAAGAGCCAATTCACTTCGTTTTTTTAATTCAAGTTTATCGTACAAATCCATTCACACCCAACCACCCATATAAGCCGATACTACGAGTGGATACAGAAACCCATCCGAATCAAACTCTAGGCGAATACTGAAATTTGGTATGGAATGCGCTATTTAACTGTAATGTAAGTGACTTTTGAAATCAAGGGAAGGTTATACATTGAATAACCTTCTAAAGCATTTTCCAACTCTAATCATAAATAGCTCGTCTTTAGTTCGTCCAGATTACAAATGTACTGGCTCACAGAATAACTTAGACTCCGTTGTGGAGAACATGGAACATCTTTCTAAATTATATCTAGGTATTTACTCTTAATTACATAATAGCGTCAAAGATGTATGAACTACTTTATATACATTGATATTAAATTAAAATTACAGATATCGAGTGCATCGAGTGGCTGGCAGTATGCCGACGACGAAACCAATGTGCTGCAAGTGAAATACCGGTCCTTAAGCTTGGTACTGTCTCCTGAAAGCGACAGGATTGCGCTGATACATTAGTTATGATCATCTTCTCGTCTCCTAGCAACAGTTGCACTTGACGTATTGCTGGTTGTGTAAAGTCTATTTAAAAATGGAATCAGGTCGTTATTCGATTGCTAAATGTAAATCTTTACGCTTTAGCAAGATACACAAATGTAGAATTGATTTAATTACTTACATAAAATTGCATTATTCTTCCGCTATTTTTATTTGGAATTGATCCAAATTTAGACTGTTCTTTATTATCTTTTTTGTAGAATTTCTGTAAATAAATAAATTTTTAAAAATTGATTAATTAGCTGTAAATCCTTTCCATTTTGAACTATCTAATAAATAAAGTATCTACATTATGTAATAATTCACTGCAGTAGAATACTTTCTTCTGTAAAACCTCCTCAAATTCTTCAAGACCAGGGGACAAAGAATTTTATAAAATAAGTTGTAACTTACAATTTAAAACACGTAGTTATCCCTCCCCCTCTCCCCCCGTATAAAATAAGAGCGACGATTTATAAGTATTGCTGTGGTGATATTGCAATATGGAAAAAGCCATATTGCGCTTAACGTGGCGGTGGCACCCCTCCCGTTGATATGGAACACTAGAGGTGAGCTGGATATCCATTTTTTTGGATAATCCACGCCCTGATCCGATCCAACTGGATTTGGATGAATTGGATCTGATATTTTTTGGGCCAAATGGATTTGGATGGATTGGATCTGAAATTTTTTGGGCCAAATGGATTTGGATGGATTGGATCTGAAATGTTTTGGGCCAAATGGATTTGGATGGATTGGATCTGAAATTTTTTGGGCCAAATGGATTTGGATGGATTGGATCTCAAAAAATGACGATCCAGCTCACCTCTATGGAACACTGAGAAATGTCCAGTTATAGAATGAAAATCTTACATAGTGAATAAGTATCTTATGCATGTGCATAAATTGGTGAAGTTAAGTTAAATGCATGCAATTCATTCTTATTTACTCTGTTCCCCATATACATACTTATATCTACATATGTATACGAACATACGTACAGATGTTCCAAAGTGCAGATAATATGCAGATGCTAACTAACCCATTCAATTATTACGAGGCTGCTTGAAAATGCATATATGTATGTATGCATCTCAGTTAAAGGCAAAATATTGACTTGGCTTTCCATGCAAATCGTCATGTGAAGGCAGAAGCGAGAGATGCTTAATTCTTGTGGATCCGAGTAGTACGATTTCTCTCGCTGTTACATATGCATCTCAACTTGTTCACCGACGGAACCTTTTGGCCAAGTACAAGCTCCGTGCCAGGTTTTCGCTCAAAACCATGAGAACCAAATATTCCCACGGCAAAACATCATCACACACGCATACATCAATTTCTACGCTGGGAAGGTGACATGAATAACGTGCCGGAACGGAAATCATATTTGCGATGTGATGCATGAAATTATTATGCATTACCAATGGAAAATGAAAATTTTTGCAAAAATTTTGCAATTCAATATTAACCATTCATAAATATATGTACGTAGAATAATAATAATAATAAGAACGTATTTCCTAAGTCAACAAGTTCAGTTTGGTCGTAAAATTGCTTACATGTAATTCAACAGTGTTTGTCGTATTAGCAAAGTCCTGCACCAAATTAGTGCACAAAAATGTTCTTAACCGTTGAATAGCACTAGTCACAAATTCGGAAAAGTTCAAGAAAATGCACAAAAATAAAGAAAAATGATTTACATGCAAATAGGTAATATAGTAACATTGCAATTTTATATACAGATATTATAAATTATCTGTATGTACGTATTTTATAACAAACGATTCTTGTTTGAAGATTTCGCAGCGATTAATAATTTTAACTTGTGCTTTGATATTACACATTAGATCATTGAAAGCAATTGGACATATTACATAGATACATACATACATATGTGAATATTGTTGGTTACTTATGTATGCATATGAGGTTTAATATGGAGAATATTGTATACCAATCAAGCATATATTTCTTGTAAATTACCATGCAGTTTAATGGGAAAATTTATGGTACAATACCCAAAAATACAACAAGCTACACTTCATACCACATTATCCATTTTACCAATTTTTAGGACAGTGGTAAGTACCAGTATTTACCAGTGTTATAAATATACCGCTTGGTAAATATGTAAGTACCACATTAAACACTGCAAAAGACACTAACAATGCGATGGTGTGAGCGACTAATCTCAGATTTTGATGCGACCACAACTATTTGATAGTATAACTCAATACAACCAATATTTGGATTTGCATTTTCTTGAATGCGCAATATTAAAAAAGATACGAAGGGTCAAAGTTGACAAAGACGCATGATTTTCACCATGCGGGAAGTCAGTAATTTTCACCCACACTCCTCCGCTCCGCTCGCTTTCATTCTGTTGGGGGTCAATTACACTCGCTTCATTTTTCGTTTCATCGGCTTCGCTTTCATTCATTCGAGATTTAAATTGTAGATAAATTCATGAGGCTGGACTAACATAACTTTCTAATAATTTAATTGGCTTAACTTCCGAATGGATTCCATAAATTTATTATCTGTAGCAAAGTCAATGCTCCATATAATACGTAATAAATATGATTATGAAGACAAAGCACCAAATGACGAAGAGGAAATAATTGCAGAGTTGCTTCTCGATAAACTTTGTGAGCTCATCCACGACTACGTTTTTGTTGAAGATGAAGTTCTTGATGAAGGTAACGTTTCCAAATATATAAAATTTATGTAATCAACATGTAACAGGGTTTATGAATTCTTAGATGAAAATGGGCTGCCTAGCAATGAATTATATGTCGACGATGATGGATCAAATATTGTTGATGACAAAGTAACACTAAATTACAAACAGAGAGCGATGGCTGAATTCGAACAACACCCGAAATGGAAATTTCGAACTTTTAAGAAACGGTTCTCAAAAGTAAAGTATCCATCCTACATTAAAAACTGGAAGAGGCAAATTGCAATGGGTAGGTCAAACGTAGTCGCATGTCAATAAAATTCATTTAGCCAAAGTACATTAATCAATTTTTCAGGAGGATCAAGATTCACAATTTTAAAGGAAATTGAAGAGTTTGTGATGTCCCAATTTCGTGATGCAAGAGATAAATTTTTATCCGTTCACACCATTGACATAAGGCGATGGGCTCTTATAAAAGCTAGGGAATATCCTGGCTTGAAGTTTAAAGCGTGTGATTCGTGGATCGGCGTATTAAAAAGAAGAAACCGGATATCATCTCGAAAGATTCAGAAGTTTGTGAAGCGCTCATCCGTAAAAGATCTGGATAAAATCCTTGAAGATGCTGCAAAATTCCGACAGGAAGTAAATGCAATGATCCCACTTTATGAACCAGGCAATATCTGGAATACCGACCAGACGGGATTTAAGTATGAAATTGTCTCCAATCGAACTCTAACTTCTAAAGGTGAAAGAAAAACTCTTGGAACGTCGTATTCGCCGAAAAATAAAGCCACCCACTCTTATACCGTACAGTATGTTGTTTCGTACGATGGATCCATAATTCCTCAAGTCTATGTCTGTTTACAGGTACGTATGCAATGACCAGCTCATTAGAAGTTGAATGTGAAAATCAGAAAATTAATTAAAGTTTCATTCACGTAGGAAATTGGTGGAATTTTAGGTCCAGTTGTGGAAAAAAACCTCTTTACGGCACCGAACCTTATTGTCTCCGCAAGCAGGTCTGGTAAATTAAGTACAGTTTTGGTTGAGGATTTCCTAGATAAAATTGTTGTTCCTCATGCTCAATATAACCAAATCCTGTATCTACTCGACAACTGGACGGCCCAAACTAACGAAGACCTTTACGAGAGCCGATTTGGACGTAGTCCGACTTATGATTTTTGGGTAATGTTTGTTCCAGAAAGTTGCACTGACCTGTGTCAACCCCTTGACACATATTTTCATCGCCAACTTAAGTATATAGTTAAGCAGTTTTATTTTTACGAATCGTTACATGAACCTGGCGAATCCTCATACTTATGTACTCGCAACGGAGTTTTGAAATTGCATTCGCTTGTTCACTTCGTTTTAAGCGCTCCTGTTTTTGTCCCGATGATTCGTTATTGTTGGTATTCTAGTGGGTTATGGGCGGATGGAGGAAAGCCATTATTCAAAAATGTTAGTGAAGTATGTTTCAAACCACGTGCAACTGATTGCAGTTTAATGATATGCGACAATGACGCATTTATAAAATGCAGCTGGTGTGATTTGTCTTTCTGTTTTAATGACTTCTATCACAAAAATCATATGCTAACTTGTGTAAAAAATCCGTTTGAAAATTAAATGCAATAAATGTTTGTCCACTTATTCATAATACTTGACTATTTACTAAACACAAAGCGAAGTTATGTTAGTAATGAAAAGTGCAAGCGAGAAAGCGGCATTGTGACGAAACGAGTCAGCGTGGAAACGAGTGGAGCGGAGGAGTGACGGTGAAAATTTCTGACCAGCCGCACGGTGAAAATCATGCGTTTTTATCAACTTTGACCCTTCGTATATTTTTTAATATTGCGCATTCAAGAAAATGCAAAACCAAATGTTGGTTGTATTGACTAACACTATCAAATAGTGGTGGTCGGATTGAAATCTGAGATTAGTCGCTGACACCTTCGCATTGTAAGTAAAAAGACTAAGTATCCGCTTCTTCCTTTACTTTCCCCTGAAACGAGTCCCTCTTTGACCTCGGGAGCCTATCTTTCTTCACAGCGACATCAACCCCACAAATTCTCTTTAAGTGGACAGATAACAAGGATTTGCTCGCAAAACCCTTTCCACACTGGTCGCAGATGAAGGGCCGCTCTCCCGTGTGGACTTGGAGCACGTGCGCCTTTAAGTGGACCGGGTACTGGAATGATTTTCCACACTGGGCGCATTTGTGCGGGGTGGGCGTGACATAGCCGACGGTGTGGATCCGCTTGACGTGCGCGCGCACTTGTTCCTTGTTCTTGAACACCAGCTCGCAATGGGGGCACGGGTTTTCCCGCTGGCTTGAGTGCGACGACAAATGAAGTTCGAGGTCTCTCTTGACGTAAAAGGAGGCGCCACATTGCTGAAAAAGTGCAATATTTTATATTCTTAATAATCATGGAGATTAACAGAGAAGGTGATATATTTTGCGAAATATTTTCGCAACTAAGAATGGCGTTAAAAAATCATTTTTCACGACAATTTCACGACTGAAGAAACCCCCCCATCGACTCCCTCCTATCCTCTCCCCCCATAAAATATACCGCTCTGTAATCATTTCTCGCCCTAAATCATTTTCGAATTCAGAATCCTTACAAGGAGGAAATTATTTTTGCACATTTTTTGCAAACTCGTCCTTATTACGCTTCCAAAATTAATTAACATTGCCACATTGCCACTTCCTTAGCTTACCTCACATTTGTGCGGCTTTATTTCCGAATGCCGCATTTTGTGTTGTCGTAATCCCAGCTGAGAAAATTGATCCACTGCGATTTAAAATTAAGTTTTTTTTTAAATATTAATTCCCCATCATGAATTACAAAATTTTATTAAAATTATTTATTTACATACCACTCATCGCACACCAAATGGTCAGCCCCATGCTCTCTGACCCGATGAGATTGGAGAGTACTTTCATGCAGAAACTTTTCTCCACACGTTTCACACTGGGGACGTTTCGATTCATCGTGTCTTCTTCGAACATGTGACCTGAGGGAGTCGTTATGCTTGAATTTTTTTCTGCAAATGTGACACACGTGGTCAGGATTGGGGACGGGTAATTTCTTCGGTGTTCGATGGACCTCCTTAATGTGGGCGTTTTTCTCCTTCTCGGAGCCAAACTTGGCGGAACAACCCGACTTCGAACAAGGAATGTGGTGGTGTCGAGCGATATGATAGTTCAGCGTGTATTCGGCGACGAATGATTTTTCGCAGTATCGACAGATCAGAACGTCGCGAAATTTTCGGTTTTTAACGGGAACACGGATCGGTGTTTTCACTTTTTGAGGAACAACTTTCTTTTTGGGACGATTTGAGCGACGTTTTCGGTCAGGAGGGGGTTTACTATTTTCTTCGGATTTGGCCGCTTTATCTCCACGTGGTGAGGGAGAAACTTTTTCCTTTCTGCGATTAGTGTCAGAAATAAAATAAATTCATTACATGAGGATAAACAAGTCGTGTACAAAACAAGGAGTTAAAATATAAAATTCTGAATATATGTATATATGTACGGGGTGGTTAAAATGACACGCTACAAACAATGGCAAATTTTTTAATGGGAAAAGCCCCTAAATCTCCATTAGTTACAAGATTTGGGATTTAGATTTTCATTAATTATTATCAAAACCGATGGAAAACTGATGACAAAATTCTTAACGTGAAGAAATTAAGAGAAAAAATTTTGGAACATGACTGATGGAAATTTGCGCGTTTTCCCCATTGAAAAATTTTCCATTTTCGTGTCACATGTAAACCACCCTGCATATATTTCTTTTAATTCTGTTAATTTCATACCCCACTGACTGAGATTTAGGAGGTCTTCCCCTCCTAGTTTTGGGTTTGACAGGTCTCCCCCTTCCCCTTCTCTTCCGTGGCTGGGGATGGATGCAGAACGATGACTCGTCGTAGTCGTCGTTATCCTCACCCTCAAGTTTTAGGGGATCAGTCTCCTCACTATTGAGTTCCATACCGGAGAAGGAATTAGGGTAATCAAAGGTTTCATAATTTTCATCAAGGAACAGATTTCCCTCGTCCGCTTCAACTTTGACTGCGACATTTTCCAACACAACGTTGCCGTCCTGTTCAGTCTTATCTCCTAGTCATGAATTTCAAACTAAATTTACTTATATTATTAATAAAATAAGAGGCCGTCCATAAATTACGTAACGCGAGAGGGAGGGCATCATCATTATACATACATGTTGCACATGTTTAACATATAAAAATAGCGCTATTTTTAGACCTCCCCTTCCCCTCTTTAATAAGGGGAGGTATAAAAATTGGTTTTCAGCTTTACGTACACCCTAAATAAATTTGATGAAAATTTACTCAGTTTTGAGTAAAATAGCCACCGAAGCAACTATTGAGTAAAATTTACACTGACAAAGGTAAAATTTACTCAAGGTTGACAGATTTTTGCTCAACCTTGAGTAAATTTTACTTTTGTCCGGGTTAATTTTACTCAACAGTTGCTTTGGTGGCTATTTTACTCAACTTTATTTACAATGTAATTTATGGACGACCCCTAATACAAAGTAAAGTAAAATTTCACTCAACCTCTCATCGTTTTGAGTACACTTGTCCTTAGTTGCGTAATCTTGTCGTCACTTTGTCCTTCTACGGATAAAGAATTCACCAGCATATCTTGAATTATCGAAACTTTCTGCCCCATCTGTCCCTCCAGGATGGATATTTGGCTCCGTATTTCCTCCATTTCGCTTATCATGGGGGCACAAGCTGGACAAAATTCACAGCTTTCGAAATTCTCTGCAAATTGTGGAGCAATTTTCTTCCGACTGCGACATGTTGGCGAACATGGTGACGACGACGACAGTAATTCCAGCAGGAGCGAGATTGGTACTATTTTTCTGATTTCCTTATTATCCAAGGGGGCTGTCGACGGGATGGTTGTGGGGATGACTTGAGAGCAAAGAAAACAGACCATGCTGACCTGTAATTAATGAACAGTAGAAATTTTGCAATTTAAATATTGTTTTAACAAGTTTGAATTAAATGTTTAAAAAAATCGGTTGTCGTCTAGCCTTCTGCACCACTTTTTTTTCCTAAACTAATAACCTTTTTAATTGTTTAAATTCCTTAATCTGCAAGGAAACACTTAACGCCCAACCTTATAGCTTAAATAGAGTTAGATTCTTACCATTTCAAAAATGAGAGGAGCGAGACTCCAGACGTTCGTCAAACCAATTTGAAAAGTGAAGAGTACGCACTAAAAATTTAATATCATTTAAATTGCCACTTATGCAAATACTAAAGTATGTATGAATGTTAGTATGATGAGAAAATTAAGTAATTGAATTGAATAATTTTATGTAAAACTTACATTGTGCGTTGATAAGAGCAAATTAAGAAAGTTTCTGTGTCCAGAGTTATTTTGCTTTTGCCAGCTGCTTTGATGGGTTGAGGGTCGTCGGCCCTAATTTATTTTACCTGATGGAGGTGAATAGAAATATTTAATCTATTAGCAGTAAATTTTGTCACCAAAGACAGATATTTTAGGAAACTTTAAATATCAAAACATCTGATGACGTGAGTTGAGTAGTGTGCAAAATGGATCGCGCCGTGGACTTTGTTTCTCAAAGCGGGTCGTCGTCCAATGCACGTGCAAGCTTCTCATGACAACGACCTTCATGGAAACTTTTCATGAAAAACTGTTTTCATGAAAACAAAATCTTTCCATAAAAAAATGCATGCAAATTTTAACAAAAAAATGCATGAATATTTGTAATAAAAAATGCATGAAAGGTATTAATGAAAAAATGCATGAAAAGTTTTAATAAAAAAATGCATGAAAAGTTCTAATAAAAAAATGCATGAAAACTTTTAATTAAAAAATGCATGAAAAGTTTTAATAAAAAAAAGTGAATGGAAATGAGCTTGATTTATTAATTTAATTGATACTTATTTTTCAAATCTTTCCATTTCACCTGAACCTTTTCCAGTTTCTCGTCTTTGGGCAGGGCTTAACTAAGGGTTAGGCAAGATTATAGAACGTGTCGAAAATTATTAATTTTTGGGCGAAATATTCGTTGTTGGATATTTTGAATGATTTCATCGTATTCCGCATCCTTTTTTCATGAGGAATGAAGTTATCATTTCCAACAATCCCGGCTTTTATATCCGGCAGCAGATTTTCTTTGAACCACTGTTCATCTAAAAGTTTGCAAAATGCATAAAAATTTTTCTATGCCCATTTGAAAAAAGTGTCGAACTGAAGTTTCAAATCAGAATTAAAGCACCGGAGGCGCATAACCGGACGTAACTAGTTTATCTTTATGCAAAATAATTTAAATTTCGAATATTAAAAAAAGGATGGCTGCGAACTGGGTGGTAATCCGAGCGTTGTCGGTGAAAAAGTTTCGCGTCGACCTCATATCTTCTGATCCTCGCTGAAGTTGTGCATATCTTGGTGAATAATTCAGTTCAGTGTACGCCCAGGGACCTGACACTTCGTGGCCAGTTGATTTTGGATTGATAAAAAAATTCTTGCCTTGTCCACATCAATTTTTCTCACGTGCGTCGGGTTTCTTACAGTCCGGGGAGCATGCGTTCGACGGATGTGGCGACGTCAAATATTTCTTGCCTGGTTCCCTTTTCAACTGAATCCTTTATTTTAGACATTGGGTCATTAGAAATGACAATTTTTTCATTCTGGAATTGGTTTAGTATTGTTTTGTACGTCATTATTGGTTGGCAAACTATTTTAACGGCATGGAGCTCTTTGGGGTCAATTTTCGAACCCATCTTTAAAATTTCACAATTGAGCTTTTTGGTCACGGTGCGTATAGGCGTGCTCCTCTCTCAAGAAGAATGTAGAGTTTGGAGTCACAGGATGAGGAATTCCTCACATGGGTGAGGAATAATATCGATAGAATAATATCGACAGAAATTTTCTGCAGGATTATGCCAAAAAATGCAGAATACAGTATGCATGAACTTTTTGCCGATTATTGCAGAATTCCTGCGATTTCTATATAGTTGCGCGCTGAAACCGGAACTCATTAAAGATAAAGGATAAATTTGTTGAAAATTCATTCAGTTGCGAATAATTTATTATTGTCCCCGGCATAGACCTTTACCCAGCTAAATTCTTTTGCAACCGAAAACTCGAATAAATTATTGACGAAAAACATGCAAACCTAACCTGGTTCAAGTAAAACGCTTACAAGTTTAATGATTTTTTTATTTCACATAATTTATTTCTGCATGCGCCAAAAGATTTTTTTATCTACATACATTTAAATATTATACATGCCTATAATTCACACGTAAGGATTACTTCTGCAGATGCAATCCATAAAGTTAAAATTAAAGTCGAATCGTTTCTGCGTCTCTCTACATTGAATGGCCAGTGCATATTTTCTAAAATTTTGCGGAGTGAAAATTAATACAAGCAAACATGTACAAGTTCTATAAAAATTGCTCTAGCCACTAAATAGGCTGAAAATTTTACACAAATTGTGTCCAACTACACGCACGATTTTAACGAAACACACGTCTTAACAACAATGTTTGACTAGAACTTATGTCATTAAAGCTTCAATCGTTTTATCCATCACGGCCACGTAGTAGCTTGACTTTGTCGATTTCTTAAACACGAAGAAATTGAATTCCCCCATTCCCGCCCGAAGTCCAATGGGCCTCAGCCCCTTCACCGTCTGCTCGCAATATCTTCGCATAAAGATGCCCCATTTCACCCTCAGCCTGACCCTCCACCCCGCCAACAACTTTCCACTCCGCTCCCAGCTCGCGATCCCGTACGGGAGCAGGATTCCAATCGCCGCCATGGCCACGAGTGCCGCAGTGGGAAAAAAGAGATAGAATGGCATCCGAATCACTCCCAACATTCGAACCGTGGTGAAATTGCACATTACCGTAAATCCAAATCCGATCGAGAGCATCAACGTGGCCAAAAAGGTGGTCGTATTCTCCATGGTTTTGAAGATAATTCGAAACCTTTAATAAATACATGAGCCTTTGATAAATTTGTCTACCTATTTAATTCTCCAATTACAGCATTAGGGGTCATCCATATATTACGTCATCAAAAATTCTCCATTTTAGCACCCACCAACCCAACCTTTGCATTAAGGGATAGAGAATTTTAAAACGGGAAAGATAGGAAGATCTAAACCACCCACCCACTAAAATGATGACGTTATATATGGACGTTCCCTAATCTGATCTCTGTTCTGCCCATGGTTTGGATTTTCAGGGCCATGACAGCCACAAAGAGTGGAGAAGGCAATATTCATTTGAAATTTGTGAGGAATTTAATTATTTACCGTGGTCCAATTCCCTTTTTTTCAAAAATAAAGAAATTTGACCACTGTAAATGAATAATTTCTTCACATACTTCAAATGAATATTATATTCTCTGTAGATTCTCGACTTTTTGCGGCTGTAAGGGCCCTGAAAATCCAAACTACTGGCAGAACAGAGATCAGATTAGTAATCTGGTCTCCGTAATCAGTAATCTGAGATTACTGTACATAATTGTACAATGTAATTGGCCAATGAATAAATCAGGTTACCTTTGATACATTCGGATAGATCCCAGCCGAGGATTTAGCCTGGACAAGTCCCGTACCGAATCTAGCAGCATGTTTAAAACTACCGCGCTCGTTACTATGGATCCGACCAGGATGGCAGCGCAGTGGAACCCGACGTAGGAATAGGTGATCGTCAGCACTATGAAGGTGACCAATTTGCACGAGAAATAAGTATTCATAGGACACACTGAATTTATCACGGCGTACTTAATGTGATAATATTTGTCATGGACGGTCAAGAAGGCTACAAACATGGCGAAAAGAAATGGCAGAGTGGCAGATATGACGATAAATTGGAATAGCATGACGGTCAGAGTGTCCCATTTTTGGGCACGTTTTTCAAAACCTGCGATGTATAAATATGAGTATATATGTACCTTCAGAAATAATTTAAATCCAACTAAATTACTTAAAGAAAATTGTTAATCGCTACGTTTTTGACTGATTAATTTGAGTTAGGGATGATTATGAATGCCAAATATTTCTATCAACCCTTAAGCCGAATCATTCAACAATTTTCCATCTCAAGCAGCTCACCTTCTTCCAATTTCTCGACCTGGCGGACTAAATCATTTAAGAATGCGGCCTGTTCATACTTCACCAGCCAAAACGCGACCGCCGCAGTGACGTTGTATACGCATTGAATCAGACCAATTAGCAGAAGGAGGACAGACAAAATTTTGATCCTTTCCGAATAAATGGTGTAGATGGCTTCCGTCGTGTTGAGGACGATGCCGCCGAGTGCGGCGAATTCAGGGATACAGAACGAGAAGAACAAATCCTTTCCTGTCTTCGCATAGAATCTTCGCGTCGACGGGCTATACGAACATGGAAATTTAAAGTAAAATAAGAAAACTTTGCGGTAAATGTGTAAGGCGTGAGTGTTTGGCATTTTGGGAAGGTTTGGAACATATTTAGAATCCAGCCAGAGGCTAGTATGGAATTAAAGAAAGATATGGATAAGTCGACTAGGCCAAATAAATTGAATTTGTCTCCTCAGGGTGGACACATTTTTAGTACGATTACTTATTAATGACTGTTGGATCGTGCATAGGACAAGCTTTAAAACAACCAAAGAAGAATTTTTGCAAAATACATAACGAATCGCATCTTTCGGTCACCAGAAGATTTGGCTTGTTAAAAGGTTTAAAAATAGTTACGTATGGATGGATGATCTCCAAACTTATGTAAAGAACCTTACATAAAGTGAAAGGCTTAGCAGAACGAAAAATAATTTAAATTGGTGATTTAATTAGACGAATTATTTTAAAATGATATTAACTTTTTCAATATTTTTCGTTTAAAGCTTTCGTTAGTAAGTTTTCAGGCTAATACATATTAGACCCACATACACAAAAAGGTTTTGAGTATATCTAATTATTAATTTTCCAACCGGGCCAATGCTTAATTTTATAACCCGACATTAAATTTAGCTCCTTAATAAATGACAACTCCGCCGTGTCCATGTTTTTCTTATGGTTTCCCTATTATCTGATTACCCCAATCCGACCCCTTCAATTCCACACCGTCTACCGCTCCTACATACTCATTTTTACCCCTGATTAAAAAAAATCATTTTTTGAGTAATGTTTTCATTTGAAAATATTTAAGTATCAGTTTTTCAAAACGATTTTGTCCCTAAATACTTGTAAGACGCCGAAATCGGCATGTACATTGTGTATCTTTAACCAATAATTGCTGATATTACATTACTTATTGCAATACATACGTATGCAACTGAAGGTTAAGATTTTGTGTTAATAACCCAAGCCTGACTAGTCAGGAAATAACACGCTTTGTGGTATGTATCAATGAGTGACTGAGTCATCTTACTGACTCAACGTTTAATTCATAACTTATGTAAAGTTATGTAAGCCTGACTAATAACTTGATAACATCTTACATCATAATGTGTTTTCGCACAATCGGCATTCAATTGTGAACACTCTTTATTAAATCATGGAAGTTGGACCCCACACAAC